GCCTCCGCCGATGACATTGACAAGTTGAATTAGCGGAGGCTTCCTTTTTAAGTCATCGCATGTGTGTGTATTTGTATCGATGACACGGATCCGTCTCCCCTTTCTTTTCGGACGGACGGACGGATGGGGTCCTCTTTTCCACCTCCTCCTCCGTCCTCCTCAATCTGTGGGTCAGCAAAGATTCCTCCCTCTGGCGGACGATCACCGCCGACGCCACCACCACCATCACCACAACAACCACCGCCGCCGCAAATTAAAATACTCTCCTCTCAGCGACTTCTTCTTTTCTTCTTCTCCTTACTCTGCTCGTTTCTTTTTTCGCTACAGCTCTTCTCGTCTCTCTCTCTCTCCTTCTTCCACGACTCGGTTTTCGATCGTTCGCTCTCCTTCCCTCCACATCGACGTCCTTTTGTTCTCCTCTTCTTCATTCTCATTCTTCTCGTTGCACGGCCCGAGAGAGGCCAAACGAAAAAAGAAGTTTATAACTCGGTAATTGGATATTATGTTCGTGTAAACTTGCAGGCGGAATGCGCCACGGAATGCGCGTTAAAAGGAGGCGATTTCCTTCCACTCTTCTTCTTCTTCTTATTCTTCAACTTCTTCTTCTTCGGCATCTTCTTTTTGCTCTTCTGCCAAAAGGAGGCGAAAAGACGAACGGCGAATAATCACCATTTTCCAAACGATCAGAAACAGAAGAAGTAGCAACAACCCTCCCGAAATCGAATGCTCATGTACACGCATTCCTCCTCCACCTCCGTTTCTCTCCACCTCGTTCATGTTTTCCCATCTTTTCTTCTCTCTCTCTCTCGTTGAACGCGCCGAGAATGGCTTCGGTGACTCGTCAGAATATTAATAATATTCAGGATCGCAGCAGGAACCGCTCGCCACGACCCATTCTCGTCCACCATTGCCATCCATGCCACACGGATGATCTAAGAGGAAGGATCGGGGGGGCTCTTAAGTGAGCGTCTCCTGCTGGTCAACTCCGTGAAGCGAAATAAAGAACAAGCAAATGAACAACGACCAACAACTACAAAACACTAAAACGAACACACAAACACACGGAACGTCGCATCAACGCATGAACTTGTACTTAACTAACGAATCTCACCCGAAATCATCCCACAGTTATTATTGCAAGCCAACTTTCTAACCGTTGCGACCACAATTAATGGGCAGACAGACGGTGCGAACGAATAAATTATTTATTACATATACATATATATACACTATACACTATACGGCTATAAAAGCATTATAATAAATTATGGTCGGCTTTCGAGTTCACTCTCTTTCTCATTTAACCGGACGATCTTCGTGGAGATAATTTGACAGCGAATATTAATCAAAAAAACAAATACCGAGCGCGCGCGTATCGCTTTTCTTTCCCTCTCATCCTTCCTTGCTTGCTTCTATTAGTAATCCTCGTAATCCTCTTCTCACAACACAACAACATTAACAACACCCTTCGATCAATTTCATCAAATTTCTATTGATCTCAATATGCAAATTCAGGTAACACCTCATCAAAAAAATAAAACATGTATAAATTATCTATTTTCATTTATATAACATCAATACATATTGTACAACATCGATTACAACAACTTCTCCGTAACGTAACGTAAACAACAGATATATGTTACAAGTTGTCATAGAAACATTTGTCTAATTTTGTTTTTAATAATTCGCGTAGATACGTTTTTGTTTCATGAATCGATGTGTTTATCGATTACAGCGAGGAGAGAAAATATACAAATAAACATTACGTTTCATATTTATAATAATAACAATAAACGAAAACTCGCTGACAGATAATGAAAATATTTGTTCTATTTTCGACTGATTTATGCAATTACAAAATGCGCTTCGGAACGAATCCACTTCATTGCGATAAGATAAACCGACATCTCGTGTCGCACACACATCGTATCCATCCATCCATCCATCAATACATTTGTTTTCTGTTTGTTGTCGTTTTGATAAGTACCGCACGATTTAAATATGACAGATTTAAATTATGTAAGACAATAATTGAATGTATGTTAAAAAACTCTAATATGTAAAGGATATATTTTATGTTTTTCATGTGAAGGGCTGAAAACTAATTGTAATTAAGCACAGCAACCATATGATGTTTTTTTTTGTTTATGTATGGTGTAAAATCGTTCAGCAGTTGGTATACTTGTGGAAGTGGTGTTGGTGATAGGGCGAAGAAAGAATGGTTCGTGTCGGTTCCGTTTCCCTTGGTGGCGAGCGAGCGAGCGAGCGAGAGTCCACCAGGGCCCACACATGTGGAGGCACGCGCCAAGTGGCCGTCGATTCAAACTGGGTCCGTTCGGTTGAGGTCGGGCCCTTCGTGTGTGTTCAGCTGCGCACAAGCTGCACCAGGGACCACACAAAGTGCGGCACGCGCAGCCCCGAGCCGAGGGCGGCCGCCGATCGACCACGAGAGAAGAGTGAGAGAAGAGGAGACGGGACGGGACGGGACGGGACAGGTGAGCCCAGAGAACCTGCTCTCTCTCTCTCTCCTCACTCCTTCAGCGGCGATACCTAATGTGTATGCTCGCACTAATAAGGTTCCAATTTGTCAATTATGAGGGGACCACCCGGTACACCCCGCGCGCCACTCTCACCCATCACCTCTTCCACGTCCTTTCCGCCTCCTCTCTTGATCTTCTCCCTTATCCATGCATCTCCTGCATTGCATAACGCAACCACAACCACCCTCTCTTTACAAGTAAGGATTAGAGATGCGGTTTCGCGATCAGAGCGTGGACGAAAATCGCCCGGCTTTTGTTCTTTCGATGGTGCGGGAGGAGGGCGAGCGCAGTGAAGGAGGGAGGGTTTGGTGCTCCTCTCTCGTGTGTGATCTGTGACTCTCTCGGGTCGAGACGAAGAAGGAGAAATAAAGAGAGAGAGAGAGACAAAGAGGGAGAAAGATGCAGCAAGAGAGGCCGAAGGTGGAGGACGTGGGAGGAGGGTCCGGGACGGTGGAGACTGCAGGCCCAGCGACATTCCACGGGCCCGTGGGAACCGCCGCAGCTTGTATCGTTCGCTTGCTGCTACCTATTCTCACTCCTCTTGCACTAAAACACGAACGAAAGAGGAGAATAAGAAGAAGAAGAAGACGAAGAGGGAGAGCACGTGAAAAAAAGAAGAGGAAGACGCGGAACGCACGGCGACGACGAGGAGAGATGAACGCAAGAGTAGGAGAGCGCCCCTCTCGGACTCGCAGAAGCGGCAGCTCAAGATTCGCGTTTTCGGCCACCTCAGGAATGCCTTTTTGCTAACTATCTGCCTCCGAGTCGTCCGCATCGCTCGAAATATTTCGCGGGTAGATTTATTGGCTCTCCGGGCCAATTAAATGACCGATAGACTTTAACCAAATCCATTCCTTCGACAAACACAACAACAACAACAACAACAACAACACGCTTAATGATACTTTTAATTCCAAATGACCCTCAAAATGATCATCATCATCATCATCCAAACTTCTTTATTTTCATTCCATTGCATTACACACGCATTTGACTTCTGCATAACGTCAACTTCGAGTCAAGTAAATCACTTACGTTATGAATAATTCTAAAATAAACATTCACACGCAACGACTTTACATTCATATTACGCTATTAATACTGCATTCAACATTCTTTACAATTCTGTTGATGTTAATATTTGAAAATTTAATTTATTAGCAATTAATTGCATTACAATGCAATTAGTTAAGCTCATAAATTTTCTTCGATTCATTGATATTAACATACTAAATTGTATTGAAAAAGTAAATACTTTTTGTATCTTTTGGAATTCGGTAAAATATAACGGACGATGAGCATCTGATTTTTTTCTTTTCTTCTTCTTCTTCGATGTTCTTTTATTTTATTTTGTTTTTGGAAGCAATTAAATCAAGTGGGCATTTTCGGGATTCCGAAACACCTAAAATTAATTAGCGGGCAGCTCATCTCTCTCTCTCTCTTTCTCTCTCTTCTCTCAGAAGCAATTAATCCGTACCGCGCAAAGGGGATTATTTATCGATTCCGTGAAATCCAAAAGTATTCACCCTATCCCAAATGTGTCCCTTCTCTATTCCATTCTTGCACTTGCAGCAACAAAGTGTCCGTTTTATTCGCGCAATATTCACGATTGCGTGCGGGGGGGCAATAAAGCGATGAAAGTCCGCCGGGCAATTAGTGTCAGAGTGCGGCGATTATTAAGCGGCGGCGATAAATTTCTCGCGCGCGGGATTTTCGAACGAGGTTTATCTGTTAGGAATAACAGGCGGGCAGTAAATATTAATTTACGGTACGCGACAGAAACGCTGCATTTCCTTTCTCTTCCACTTTACCATCTTCCTCCTGACAAATGTTTATTTTTACGCGCGCGAAGAGCCTTAACGCACGTTAAGGAAAATTTAATTATCACCTTCTTCTATTTTTTTTTCAACTGTTCATCGCCTCCTCTTCTTCGCGTATTGTTTACAAACCGTAAAAGTGCGCGCATTCTTTCATTTCTACTCCATCCTTTTGTGGCTTTCTAATCTTTATTTTATTTGTTAGTGTTTGCTTTGGCGACACTCGTTACGACTTACACCTTCCCTCTCCACCATCACTACTCTTCTTATTAGAAATTTTCAAATTTGGTGATACACCCTGTATATATTTCAAATTTCTGACGCGCATAGGCAACCAAATATACACATACCTTAAATTTAAATGTTGTTACTTTCTTAACGTATTTCATTTGTTATTATCAATTGTTTAACATGAAAATAATATAAATGATCAAAATATTATTAATAAATTATAAAAAATCGCAATGTAAAACAATTTCAAAAAATATTACTAATAACTTTTAACAAACGGTTTGAAACAAGAGTAACTAACTCAATAGTATTATAAATTTATTAATTTAGTGTAGATATAATCAAGAATATGTGTTTATTAAAGTTTGAGTTGTTTGTGGGTTGGTGAAACTGGCTGTTAGTTAAAAATTATCCGTTGCATTTGGCGCCAATAACACTTTGGTTCCTGGCTGTGTTTATTTCAGTTAGTACAAATTATAATTCGCGATGGCCCAAAGTTTTTTCGACAAATGCGAAGAGTACTTCCAATCCAGAGATTTCTACGAAATCCTGAAGATCAAGAAAGATGCTAACGAAAAAGAACGTGAGTACTTCGTAAAAATATTTTTTCTGCTTCAAACATAACCATTGATTACATATATCTGATTTTTGTAAACAGTGAAGAAAGCCTATCACCGACTGTCACTGAAGGTGCACCCTGACAGGGTGGAGGAGAGCAAAAAACTAGAGGCCAATGAAAAATTCAAGGTCCTCGGGAAGATCCACAGAGTGCTCCAAGATGCTCAGCAGCGCGAGGTCTATGATGAATCAGGCACAATCGAAGAGGAGGACAACGATTCCACATTCAACTGGCGCAACTACTGGCAGAACATGTTCAAGAAGCTCACGACGAAAGACATTGAAAATTACGAGATGGAGTACATGGGATCTGAAGCAGAATTGAGAGACATAAAAAAGGCTTACATTGCCTCGAAAGGCAACATTGATTTGATGTACGAGACTGTGCCTTTCCTGAAATTGGACACTGAGGAAAGGATGGTCGGTATTGTACGTAAACTGGTCGACGATGGCGAATTGGAGGAGTACGATGTATTCTTCAACGAGCCGAAAAGCAAGAAGGATAAGCGACGCAAGAAAATGGAAAGGGAGCAGAAGGAGGCGGAGAAAATCCAAAACGACACCGATCTACAAAATGAGATTAAGAAGAACAGGGAGAAACGCGAGAGCTCTTTCTTCAATCTGCTGGACACATTGGAGAGCAAGTACAGCAACAAGGGCACAAAGAGGAAGGCCATCAAATCTACAGAGCCCAAAGGCAAGGGGAAGAAGAAAAGAGTATCTAAAAATTAAGGAGACAAACTGTGATCAACATATTATTAAAGTAAAGAAAAAAAACACTGATGGATTTAATAAGTAAGAAATATTTATTCAATGACAAAAAAAACTCATTTCTTTTTTACTCCTTATCATTATTCTCGGTGCAGTAAAACATAGAATCCCAGGCAGGCCAATACTGCAATCTGAAATTAAAAAAAAAAAATAGATTTGTTACATTATTTTTCTTCTAAATATATTATATATATGTGATTTATTTACCTTGAACTTGGGATATTCATTCATTATGATTGTGACCATACCAACATATGGTAGGAACCCTCTGGCCCTTCCAACAACATCCTTCTTTGTCAGCCACAGTTGGCCGGGAGCGTACAGACCTCTATCATCCACACTATTATTATCACCTTTTGTCAGAAAACTGACTGTGCCATTCTCTCTGTTCAAACATAATTAATTATTAAATTAATTTGCTTTTAGCAGTTTGCTACTACTTACTTTTCATGGAGCTTTAATACTCTGTGCACAATGGGAATGTCTCTGCCCTCCACTTTGAAGACGACGATTTCTCCGACCCTGATTGGTTCTTCAGGGTAATTTGTTAGAAATAGCAAATCCCCCCGATGGAAGGCTGGCTCCATACTGCCAGATAGCACCACCACGATGGGACTCTCGCTGCCCGTCACCACCATCAGACCTTTCCAGATCATGAGTGCAGATGTTACAATCATACCAAAGCTGAGCACTTGGTATATGAACTGGAATTTGGAAAAGGTGAGTGAGACTGCCCGTACATTTTCAATTGGACTTCACTCACCTGTCTCTTGTTCATCCTCTTCACATCGTCGAACATCGTTCCAACGTCCATTTTCGCTGCAAATATTTATGTACTTTTTGGGCCACTAAATACAACAATATTCGAAGCCGATCCACGTAAGTGTTGACAGAGGTGACAGCAAGAGTCACTCACTCGCTTCCACTGCTACAGACATACCAACCCCCTGTTGAATTGCATTTTATTTATAATAGAAGAATTAAGAAGATTTTGTCGCATCTTCGCAGTCGATAATAGTTGAGGTTTAATTGATAATTAACTAATCCATCCAATTTTAATCCAATTAGACTTAATTTGTTGCACGTGTAAGTGTAGTTGTCTAATTTGTTCGAGATCCAATGTGACTCTTCAGTTGCCTAGACAACTAATCGACTAGACTAGTCAAATTAGACTTAATTTGTTGCACGTGTAAGTGAGGTTGTCTAATTTGTTCGAAATTCTACTATGTGACTCCTCAGTTGCCTAGATAACTAATCGACTAGACTTAATTTGCTGCACATGTAAGCCTGGTTACCTAATTTCTACAAATTAATATGTGACTTTTCGGTTGCCTATATATTTAATTTGAAAATTTGTATACTACTGTCTCAAGATTTCACTTTATTGTGCATAGTTTTCAGTGAAGCTCGGCTGCGACTGAGAGTGCTTCTCGAAGTCACTAAGATTGGTTTCCTTCAGATGCTGTTCGCTCACCGCGGCCTGATGCCAATTGCTGTTGTAAATCGCGAACGTCTCCAAAGGCATCGAAACCTCCTCGGCTTTCACCGCCGTCTCACTAGATTTTTTCTTGCTCAGATCACCGTTGCAGTCATCACCATTTCCCCATTCGGAGGCCATCATCTGCAGCGGCTGCAGAATCTGCACGCTCTGCTTGACGCGCAGCAGCTCCAGATTGCACATGTTCTCGACCTCCAGAAGCCTTCTCTTGTAATTAGCGAATGCTATCTGCTTCTGCAGAACCTGCCTGTTCTCGTAATGCGACTGCATGATTACATCCTGATATCTCTGCAATTCGTAATCGAGATAATCGTATCCGCCGCCTAAAACGCTTTGCGGTTGCTTCGCGTCTCCGATTTCTCTTTGCCAGATCTCGCGCTCCTCCTGCAACTGACCCTTGAGACTGTGGATAGTCTCGCGCAACCCCAGAATCCTGTCGTGCAGAAGCCTGTTGTACTCATCCGTCTCCGATGAACTCGAAGATGTTTCCTCGCCCGAAGAATTCTCCTCTGCGCTCGACTCCATCCCACCGTCGTTTTCGCAGCATTCCAAATTTTGATTCACCTCCAAACGCTCGGTCTCCATAATCTTGTATTATATTATTAAATCAAAATGCGAGGATAAAAATTCAAATTGATTTGCGCCAACTAAAAAAAAAAACTTTGAATTCACCACTTCCGGTAGTTCAAATGAACCTCAAAACAAAAACTAATATACAATGAATTACAGTGAAAATATCAAAATCTAATTAATATCAATCGTTATTATTATTAACTAATTTCATATCAAATATATTAAATTTGCGTATGACTGAAAAGAAACCACGTGTTTTCTTTTTGGGGAATTTAAATTTTCTTGGGTTGGCCGTTCCGTCAACCGTAGTTGTGTTCAGGCCTACCATCAAAACAATCTCTCTTCTATTTCTAAAACCGCCGCCATGAAGTAAGTGAATTGTTTACGTCCGAGAATTTATCGGATTTTTTCTTGAGAATCCTCGAATTTCCATTGGAAATTCGCGTGCAGAATTGCTGTTGGCCAGTGTATCTAATATGATTCGTGTTTATTTTCTGTTCGCAGGATCGGTTTGTGCGCATACAGTGGATACAAAATCTATCCTGGTCATGGCAAGACCATGATCAGGGTCGACGGAAAGGTAAATATGTTTATAAGAAAAAATGAAAATTTTGCACGCATCTTATACGAAATCATTTGTTATTCTTTAGTCGTACACATTCCTGAACGCGAAATGTGAACGTGCTCATTTGATGAAGAGGAATCCACGTAAAGTAACATGGACCGTACTCTACAGGTATGTGCAATATTCATTTGTTTATTACCCCAAACTCACTTGATTCACAACTCTCTGTGCATCAATCACATATACAGTTTGTAATCGAGAAAACTACCTCTCGATGTATATGTAAACAATAAGTTTGTTGAGTGGATTTGGTAGTGTTTTGATTATTCATCATCAAATTGTTTAACTTCTTAATGATTATAAAATTCCAAACAATATGTAATTGTATTTTGTTCATAATGACAATTCACAAAAAAAATGTCTTATAAAGATGTATAGAAAAATGTTTGTATTCAGTTTTTTGATTTATGTAATTCACGTTTGTTTAAATCAATATCAACAATGTAAATTATGTTCACAGTTACATTTTCTAAATTGTTTGTTTTCTTTCTAAGCAACTTTTATTTATTTGTTATTTTTTTTGTTGTTTATAGGCGCAAGCACAAGAAGGGTATCGAAGAGGAGACCCAAAAGAAACGCACCCGCAGGACCCAAAAGTTCCAGCGTGCCATCGTCGGCGCTTCCCTCAACGACATCATGGCCAAGCGTAACCAAAGGCCTGAAGTGAGGAAAGCTCAACGCGAGCAAGCCATCAGGGCTGCCAAGGAGCAGAAGAAGGCCACCAAAGCCGCCAAGAAGGCGACTCAACCCGCCAAAGCCACCAAGCCGGCACCCAAGAGCAAGGCCAGCAAGAACGTAGCCAAGGCCGCCCCACGTGTTGGAGGAAAGCGTTAATTTAATCTTTTTTGAAATAATTACAACAAAAACATAATCACTTAAAGTTTCATTTTACAACCACATTCACAAACACACAAATGCATCCAATTATCCCTAATGCAACAACATCCTCTTGAATTGAAAAAACTGCTAGATTCAATAGATTATGATTGAAAATGATTAGTATTGAAAGATCTATTGAATTAATTTTATTGCTATGGCCAGAACCTTTGGAGATGAGGTCCAAGTAAATCCAAGTACATTTGGTTGCCTAACATGTTGAAATAGCAATTCACTAAGAAGTTATAGAAGATTAACAGTATGAAGCATATTTGGTTGCCTATATAACAGATATTTTTTTGACAGTCTGTAAGAGTTTATTTACTATTTTCAAAAATAGTGCAGGCACTTCTCAAACGAATCGACAGCTTTTACTAGTGCATTTACCGTGTTTATATATACCAGCAGTTTGCTTAGTACATAAGTAATTTATTGTAAAGTGATGAGTAATATTGTTGGAACATGTACAACCAAATGTCCTGCAGAGGAAATCAAAATGTGAGTTTTCTACTACATCTGTAGCGTATTTATATGTAACGTGTATTTGCAATTAGGCGAGAAAGGGAGAGGCTGCTGCATCCACTGGAAGTGCAATCGAGTGTTGAGAGACAGAGATGTCCAAAAGCAGATGTTAATCGAGTGGTCAAGTGTCATGTGAGATGTGCTGCTGGTCAATCCCTACAGAAACCCACAAACCTTCGCACAGTTCCCGCACTGCTTGACACCATCAACTATTTATTAGATAGGTCTCGTGATCTCAATACCAATCAACATGTTTAGCTCAAGCAAATCTTCCTGTTTTCAGTGTCATCACAAACACCAAATTTCCTCAGAACGTTATTTACGACTTCATCTGCGACAGATTGATGGCAGTACGTCAGGATGTGGTCGTGCAGAATTTGGTTAGTTTAGCGTGCATTCGGATTTTACAATCTGTAGTCACATTCCATGCTTATGCTGCATTCTGGTAATAATTAGGCAACTTTATTTGATTAAATTGATTACGATTTAATGAAATTTCAGTTTCTATAAGGAGCCTATAAGTAAATTCGATCCGAAACTGAACAACAAGCATCTGCAAGAAACTCTGAAGAAGTTGCTGAAGATTTACAGCGAGTCCGACGCTGCGGAAAGCAATAAGAGGACGTCGTTTGAATCTATTTATCTGCTGCACAATTTGGGAAACGCAGAGGCGATGAGACACGCGCTGCAATTGCCGAAGAACTTGAGGTGCTGTGAGTTCGATTCGATAAATAAACATTAATAATAATTATTATTTTATGAGCAGGGAAAGGTCGGAGCTGAAATTGTCGTTGGAGATTTCTCTGAGTTTTGTGAAGAGGAATTACCTGAGGGCTTGCAGGCTGATGGAGAAGTTGCCGCTGCTGTTGGAGGCTGTAGCCTCGCTGCATTTCCCTCGAATTAACGAGTAAGTGCTTAAGATTATTGAAAGAATATGAATTAATATTTTTGTGTTGTTGTCGCCGAAGGGACGTTGCGATTGTAATGTCGAAGGCGTACAGGAACAACGATTATCCATTGAATAATCTGTTGGAGACGAACAATTTAGCTTTAAGTGAGAGGAAATTATTGCGCTACAGTAAATATCAACTGTGAGGAATAAACAGAGTTTTTGGTAATCTTTTTCTTGTTAGTTTTGTTTATTTAAAAAAAAATAATATATAGATTCAATGATATTCATTTGAAATCAATGCAATTAAGGAAGACAGGCAATTAGCGATTTTATTATTGTTATTAGTTGATGGTCGACGGTGGTTGTGGTTGTATTGTAGATTGCAGATGTTTAACTCTTGTGGATTGATGGGCGCATCAAGTGATCACTTTCGGAAACAAAAGCGAAAACAAAATTTATTATCACTTGCGTCACGTCACATTTAATTTTTTTTTTTAAACATATATTCACGCACTTTCTGGGGACGCGTTTTTTCATCCGATCCGGTTATTTCGTTGTGATTTTATTGTGATATCGAGACGATTCTTTTGGAGCGGAGTGGATCCAGTGGGGAAATTGATGTTAATTGGTGAGAACGATGTCTACTACAATTTTGGAGCCGCCCATCAGAGTTTTCAAATTCACCGAGGGGTGCGTATCAACATTACACGATTTATCCATTTATTTCTTTCGATTACGTCTTTTTGTTTTGTAGGTTCAGCACTTCGTCGACGCCCAGGAATAGAACGGCCGAAGGAGGATTGTAAGTTGGACGCGCATAGTTGTGTCTGTAGATTGTATTTGTTTTATGATGAGATGTTTGGTAGGAGCAGCAGCAGCAGGATAGAATCGACGAGGAGCACGCCCAGACAGGGGAAGCAGTCCCGCTACGAGGTGCCCCAGTTGAGCTTCGATCTGCAGCTGGAGAATCTGCTCAAGATGCACGACACCATCGAGTCGGTGGTGATGACGCTGCGCGAACCCATCGCCGACATCCAGGAGAAGCGCGGCATCTCCAGGAATCAGTAATGATAGATAATTGCATTCTCAATGCTACTATTGTGTGTGTGTGTGTGTGTACATATGTATATATTTTGTAGGCACTTCTCGTTCATCGATCTCATGACCGCCATGTTCAACCACACCTACTACGCATGCATGGCCATCGTCACCATGGTGATTGGTTTGATGCCGCTGGTGGAGGGGTTCCTGCTGCTCGTGCGCTTCGTGCTGGACAAGGTGCTCGAAATCAACGACACGGAAAACATGTGCGAGAAGATCTTCAAAAGTGTCATCTTCCTCGGAGAACTCATCATCATATTCATATTCGTGACTATTGTATTGACGGTCGTGTTGCTACCGGTTTATCATTTGGTCCGATACGTTTTACACAAGGGTTGGGCGATCATGAGGTACTAGGGCTACCGCTGCGCCCTTCCACCAAAGGGCACGAATTCGCGATTATTTATACCCGCATTTCAGCTGGCTTTTACTGTAAATTATGTGCAATCATTTAACTTTTTGGTATTTTTCGACGGACTTTTGTAAATTAAACTAATCAAATAACAATAATTCCATCTATTCCTATTATCTAAAACTCCATTATTTAAGCGCAACACTAGCGCGCTCAATTAAGTTTAAAAAAATGCAAATTTTCAATTAACATAGGCAACCATATATACACTTTTTACTTGATAAGATTAAATTTCTCGACAACCCCTTAAGATAATTACATCACCGACCACTCGTATGAAAGCTGATTAACTCACCTTTCCAACGCGCCTACATACATCTTTGTGCTGCCATAGACTCGACTGCTATGAGCTGTAGAACATTTTTTTTCTGTTTTTACAGTTTTTTGTGAATTTCTCGACAACCCCTTAAGATAATTACATCATCGACCACTCGTATGAAAGCTGAATATTTTGCCTTTCCAACAAACCTACATACATATTTGTGCTGTCGTCGAGTCGCCTGCTATGAGCTTTAGAAATTGAAAAAAAACACATATTTAACGTTTTATACGTAACAGAGAAACGACGGTTTTCACGTTTTTTTCAGTGTTTCCTTGATTCCGGGATGTGTTGTCACGTGTTGTTCCCCCTTGTCCTACGGTGTACAGGGTTACGACAATTTTCACGTGGCTGCATCTTCGGGTGCAATAGATAACCCGTCTTCTTTTTGATTCTCTAAGAAGGTGGCTTCCATGCACTCTCACAACCTTAACATATGAGATGCACCCAATCTTTTTAAGAATATTTAACGGCTTTAGAGGAGTTCATAATCCCTGAAAACGTCCTATATTTAATTTATAAGATTGTTCTGATTTGATGCTTTTACATGAACCCTATTAGGAAGCAATTTCATTTCGACTGAATAATGTAGTAACATTGTGGGAAAACGAGTAAAATCGATTTATTTTACATTTGAACGTTACCAGTAATGCCGAGAAGAAGCACTCTTGAAATAGGTGATAATGTCAAATAATTCGATGAATATAATATTTAAACATTGTTTTTCATAGATTTCCCGTTCAGAGTTTAGCAATTCATTTTTAATGAATTGGACGATTACGCAGAACGTATTATTACTATTATCATCATCATTAATATAACGACTGGCATTCCGTGTTGTTTTCCAATCGGATTTCATCGTAAGCATTCGAATTTTCCAAAAGGGACAGAACACAAAGAGTTGGCGCGAGCGAACGTGTAATTAATTCGTGGATAAGGGCGGGCTTTCAATGGAAACAAACGGTGGGCGCAGAAGCGAAACAAGTTAAACGTGTATATAAATACAAATAGGAAATGTTTGCATTCCCAACAACAAATTAACTCGCACACACAACAGTAGCGGACAAGGAATGCCCTCAAAGTAAACTGTACTTTATAACAGTAACAACTAACAATCTTTGGTAAGTTTTAAACTATTTGTTTATATGTATCATTATTAAGAGATTTCTTTCCAATTTGAACCATTGACCAAATTGTTTTTATACACTAAACGTTTTTTAACTAATTATTTATTGTTTACTTAATTTTTAATATTTGCTAATAACTGAAACGATTGTAGTGAAAGTTGTTTATAATTCCTATACACATATTATTGCTAATAATTTCATGTTTCAAGCAAGTCGATAATCGTGTACGAGCTCGATTATTGATGAGTCCCCCATCAGAAGTGCTTTCCCCGCCAATGGTATTCATTGTAATCATTTACCCGAGAGCGTACAATAAAATTGAAATTTGCTCGACCCTACTAAGAATTCTATTGTCTAAAAAAATAAATTATGTATAATAAATATCACAAAGAACCTTCGACCTCGCGAGTGAATACATAGGATCATAGCACCCTTTTCCACACACAAAAACATCTTTTGTTTTGTTTAAGTCGCTCTGTTACCATGGTATTACCACATAAAATAATTTGTTAACAGACGTCATTTAACGATGATTATCAAATCGTTGAAACCCGAAACATAAAATTATTGTTTAACACAATCAATTCCGTGTCCGCGCGTGCATACTTTTATCGGACAATTCCCGTTATTCTTCGTTTATTTGTCCCCTATTTATTTTCCTTCGGTGCATGTCCACGCGAGCGTAAATTACAAACAAAAGAAACATACATAATCGATCCATTAATGTTAATGTCACAGCAACAACAGAAGAACTCTTTGATCAGACTTCGGGCGAATCGATAATGCACTATTTTTTTTTATAATTATTACTTACGATTGTTGTGTTGAAATTAACTATTGAATACCCGGCGCATCCTTCGAAACTCAATGAAAACTCTAAGAGTCTGCTATTATTTGTATTAGTTATAATAAACTTAATTTTTTTTAGTAACTAATTACCATGGTAACCAATTTGTAATATTTATCAAAACAAAAGTATGAAATCATTTAGTATTTATAGCAGCGTTTTCCAAACTGTGAGGCGCGCCTCCCTGGGGAGGGGTGCACTAGTCTAAGGGGAGGCGCAAATATTAGTAGCA